CTGGCCGGGCCCCCGCGCGGCGGGGCGGGCGCTGGGCGGAGCCGGGCGGGCTGGCCGGGCCCTGCCCGCGGCGCTCGCTGCCCTGTGGCGCGGGGGACGCTCCCCGCTGGCGGCTCGGCTCAGCCCGGCTCGGCGGCGCCATGAGCGGGGCGGCGGCCGGGAAGAGCGAGAAGCGGGACGAGGCTCAGGCGTTGGCCCGCAACTGCGCGGGGAGACCCGACTTCCAGCCCTGCGCCGGGCGCTCGCTCTGCGCCACCCACAGCCACGGCCGCTGCTTCCGCCTGCACTGGTGCTGCCACCTGGGCTGGTGCCACTGTGAGTGCGGGCGGCCGGGGTCGGAGCTGGGGTGGGGGGCAGTTGGCCGGCGTGGGGCGCGGGTCGGGGTCGGAGCTGGGAGGAAGGACTAAGGCCGCGCCCCCCTGCTTGAAGCAGTTACTGTCAGATGCAGGGTTTACAGTTTGGTTCAATGGCTCTCAGCATCCCTTGCTGTACAAATTGTTCCAGCGCCATTGGCGGGGGTGGGAGCGTGGCTGGCGTGGGGCGTGTGGGGGGGTTGGGATGGAGGGGGCTGTCACGGGGGTCTCTCACGGGGTGGTGGTGGGCAGGAAGGGGGCTGTCACGGGGGGTTGGTTAGGGAGGGGGCTGTCACGGGGGTCTCTCACGGGCGGGTGGTTGCCAGAGAGGGGGCTGTCACGGGGTGGTTGGCCATGGAGGAAGCCAGAGTGGTGCTGGCTTGGGGGAAGGGGGTTGTCTGGATTGGAGCAGGGCTGTCATGAGAAGGTTGGCCAGGGAGGGGGCCATGGCTAGAGCGGGGGTGGCATGGGGCAGGGGAGATTGTTGACTGGGGAAGGGGGCTGGGACTGGAGTAGGGCAGGGGTGGGGTTGGGCTGGACTCAGAGTGGGGCCTGGGTGGGGTTTGGCTGGGGGAGGGATCAGGGCTGGTGCAGGGTGGGAGTTGGTCAGTGCAGGGTCAGAGAAGGGCACAGGGTGGGGCACTGCGCTTGGGCTGGGGACACATTCAGTGGCCTTGACCCTGGTGCTGATCCAGGCAGGGGAGGTTGTGGAGGTAGGTATTGGCTGTGCCCCACTCCAGGATGGGCTTTGTGCCCTTCCCTGGTCTGGCTGAGCCCGCTCGGACCTGGTGGTGGCCATGAGTGAAAAGGCGGTTGCTGGTCTTTGGTCCTTGTCCTCTCCTCACCATGGCGCTGTGCGAGTGATGGCACAGGGTGGTGCCTGTGTGTTCCGGACAAGGACTTTGGCCCAGACCCTGAAGACCCCGATCAGAGAATCGAGCCTAGATTTTAAAACTGAGCCTGGTGCAGACTGGGACTGAGCTGTGCGAGTTAGTCAGTGTTGTGTGTGCAGAGTGGGGAAATCAGGGTAGCCACCCCTCTGCTGAAAGCTTGGGGAGCAAGCAGCATACCCCTACAGCTGTCCCTCTTCTTTGTATCATGCTCTCCGCCTGCTTCAATCTGCTTCAACAACTGCCTTTGTCAATTCACTGTTTGAATTCAGCAGTTGAAACTGGAAATAAGATTTTTTAAGGGTGAGTGTAATTAACCAGTAGAACAGATTTCTTAGAGGCATGTAAATTCTCCATCATTTTGAGTCCTTAAATCAAGGCTGGGTGTCTTTCTAAAAGACATGCTGTAGTTCAAAAGTGGGTTGTTGGTCTAGATGCAGGAATTCTGGGGTAAAATTCTATGGCTAGTGAGGGTTGGACTTCTGGTCTTAAAATTCATTAAATGTACAAATACTTATACAGTGCAAGAATCGATCAGTGAGGCTTAGAGTTTATGTACATCACTATTGAGTCTTTGTGATATTTAAGGATCTCCACCTTAACTTGATATAAAATGGGAATTAAGACCAAATAAATTATTTCCATAGTTAGGTGTCCAAAAAATGAACACCTTGGTTTGAACTTATTCATGCATTCTTTAATTGTAAAGTATTCATAATTTTATTTTATAAATGTAAAGTTTTTGGTATTCCAAGGATAAATTTTGGGGGAATTGCATTTTGAGGTATGGTAATGGGTAGACATTCTGTCAGTAACACCGACTATATAGAAGAAAGTGGATAACATTTGTGTCATATTACTTTTTTGCACTTTCTCTCACATTTTGACTGGTATAGTTAGTGAGTTTTTCAGTATAATTTGTATCTATCTGAGGCTGGTCAAAAAGTAAATTTCATCAGTATGCTATGACCATTTGTTTATTTTTTTTTAACTTAAGGCAAAGTTACAACAAAATGTTAACATTACTTATGAAGGCTCAGGTTAATGTTCCAAGAACCTGGCTAAAGATTTTGGCTTGCTGACTGGGGAGCCCTCCTCCTCTGAGTACGATAGAAAGGGAGACCAAATTTGTCAAAACCTATACTCTCCTTGGTGCATCTCTTGTGTACGTAAGTGGTGTGAAAACTTTTCTATTACAAGGACAGTCCATATTTTATTGTACCACAGTACGCTAGGAAGAGGGAGTGGGTCACACATGTCCTATAATGTGCAATAGAGTTTAGCAGCTGCTAATAATAATAATTAATAAAATGTTCTCTTTAAAATGCAGATTTTTTTTATTGGTGCATTAAGCAAGCAGGTAGGGGATCTCTAGCATAGGTGCCAACTTTTCCCAGCGCCAGTGGGTGCTCAACCCCCAGCCCCGACTCCACCTCTGCCCTGCCCCCTCCCGCCCCTGCCCCACCCCCATTCCAACCCTTTCCCCAAAGTCCCCACCCCAGCTCTGCCCCCTCCATGCCCCTATTGGACTTCTTCCCCAAATCCCCACCCTGGCCCTGCCTCTTCCCCGAGAGCGCCGCGTTCCCTCTCCTCCCCCCTCCCTCCCAGTGCTTGCTGCCGCGAAACAGCTGTTTCGCGGGGGCAAGTGCTGGGAGCTAGGGGGAGAAGCAGAGCTGTGGGGTGCTCAGGAGAGGAGGTGGAGGTGAGCTGGGGCGGGTGGGGAGCTGCCGGTGGGCGCAGAGCACCCACCAATTTTTCCCTGTGGGTGCTCCAGCCCCGGAGCACCCACAGAGTCGGCGCCTATGATCTCTAGGAAATTGGCATTTTGTCATAAGGTGAATCTCACTAATAACTTCCTCCCCAAAGCATTTAATTCCTGGAAATAACCATCACATATGCAAGCACATTTCCCCACAACCCCTCCAGTCAAGCACGTCTCTAGTAGCAAAAATATGATGGATCTTAACTGGAGTCATCATCAGAGCCACACAAAGATTTTGGGAACCTGGGACAAAATGTGAAACTGAGGGCCCCTCACCCTTCCAAAAAAAAAAAATTATCATGGAAATGAAAGAGTTTAAGAGGGGAAGAGAATGAGGGGCACAGAGTGGGCCCAGGCCTGTGGGGTCGCTTCCCTCCGTGCTGGGATGGGGGGCCACGGAGGGTCGGGGGGGGGGGGCAGGGGGGACCCAGGCCTGTGGGGATGCTGCCCACCCTGCTGGGATGGTGGGTCTCTGCCTTGTGTGTCGCCAGGGGCTGCTCTTGGTCCTGTCTCTCCTTGAGCTCCAGCCCCACTGCTGGTGGGAGCAGTATCCCTGACTCTACTTCTACATCCAGGCTCTTGGCCTGGCAGATTGCCTCAGGATCTGGTGCGATGAAGCCAGTGGTTGCAATGGTGGGCCAAACGTGAGTGGCGCTGCAATCTGTGACCCTGTGCGCCTGGTCACAATGCCTCTGGCTCAAATTTAGCCTACTGATCCCTTTGTCATTTTGGGGGGCAGGAGTAAACTGCCTCTTTTGCCCCACTCCAGGTGGTCCTGGTTTCCATTTGTTTATCTTGAGCCAGAAAAGTTGCTTTCCCAGTTCTGTTTTTTGATACTCTCAACCAGCCTTGCAAATAGATTGTTTTCCATCTACAGAAAATACATGTTCATGTCCCAGCTTATGCTATTAAAGGAAGCTTTTGTGCTTTACAGGAAGATTCACCATAGTTGTTTTCCTTTATCTTACAACTTCTTTATTTTTTTCTTTGTATTTTTGTGCAAATGCATTTTTAAAGATCCTCCTTCCTCCTAAAATACTAATGGGATCAGTCTATTGATCATAGTAAAACTGTTTCTCTTTTTGAGACTCTGTCCTATCAGAAAAGCATTGCTGGGTTTCAGGCTGTAAGCCTGAAAAATTGTTTTTTCTTACAGTGGTTGTGCCCATGAGGGTTGATAAATTGCAGCACAAAACACTTAGCATTTTATCTCTAGCACTGTTCAAGCTGCAGGTTTTGTGTAACGGGAGGAGCAAAAAGTGACAATCCTGAAAAGTATATGTGGTGGCTCAAGAAAGTGGAAGTCTTTCTATAAACAAAATTTAAATTTAAAACTTGGTTTTGGAAATCCAGATGTATCACTTTTGACAAACAATACTTTTTTTTCCCTGACTGTATAGTTGTTATACATGTTCAATTATTGTTATACAGTTCCTCTCTCTTGGTGTTTTCCATTTCTTTCTTCTGGTCTCAAGTGGGCCTATTTAATTTTATATTGTATCAATGGTATTGACATTGGGTGGGGGAGTGAGCCAAGGTTTTGAGTTTTTTCAATCTCCCTTCTGACCTGCTCTTGATTTTGGAAACAGTATCATCCTTCATATTAAGTATAACCAAACATGGTTCTGGAAGGAGTCTCTGTATAGGTTCCCTTGACTATAGCCCCAAGGAATTATTTTTTGACTAATTTGTGCAGATTTGTTTGCATTCACAATATTCCTATTACAGATCTCGGCTAGTGGAATTGACCTTTTGCTAAATGTGACAAGTGTTCTTCAGTAGAGCTGGCCGAATTTTTTTTGGTGAATAGTAAATTTGCTGAAAAATGCAGTTTCAGGGTGACCAAAGCTTATTTGCAGATTTGGCAGAGTTTCAGCCAAAGAAAAAATGAGGATTCTTTTTTTTTCAAAAACGTCAAAAGAAGATTGTACATCTTCAAAACAAACCATTTCAACATTTTGTTTTGAAAACATTGATTCAAATCAACCTGAAGAAATTTTTTTTGGTTTTCATTTTGGCAAGAAAAACAGAAGAAAATGAGTTTGGGTTCCAAACAAACCAAGTCTTGGGTTTTTTGCGGGGGAGGTGGGGGTGGTTGGCCATCAAACCAAAACATTAATTATTTGTGCAGCTGTGTATATCATCCTCTTCTAGTCTACCTTCTCGTTCATGATTTTTTGTCTTTTCCAATCTAGTTCATATTTTCACTTGCTTTGAATGAATGCTTCACCTTTTCCTGTCTATAATTCTACTTATTAGCTTTCTTTTTTTCCTCTGGAGTAGGAATGCTTTTTATATTTAGTGGTATTT